GCTAAAGTTGAATTTCAGTTCCTAGGAGCTAAAGTTGAACTTTAGCTCCTAGGAACTAAAAGGATCTACTGGACGTTATCAAGAATAAACTACATTGTGACGGTTGGCTATTTGGGTTGAGACGCATATCTGATTTGTTTCCGATTTCAGCAGATTTGGCATTTCATACCCATGCTGGAGATATAAATACACCATATTATAGTTCAGTATTGGAATTAAAAACATCTCAGTTGAGTATTTTTGTTTTGATCAGGGAAGCCTTCAAGATTCAAATACTTGCGTGATCTGTATTTCATTCGTTATTCTCGGGATGGATAACTTGTTTTTGAATAATCACGGCAAGCAATAGTTCTTTTGTCTCAAACAACGATATTGTTCAGCTTCATTTGATTATTAAGTAAAACACAGTGCAGTATGGAGAGGAATAAATAATCACTATTATCATTGTTGATATGCTCACTAACCTAACATTTTCCACGTCTTGTTCCTATAGCTGGCACTGGCGCGGTATTTGCCATAAGAGCACCTGGTCCATTCACAAATATGTCACTCTGTGGTTGTATTTATATTGAAAATACAATTCGAACATCCTAGAAAACCTAACCTGCTGTTAATGCAGGTAGAATATTCTCACCACATGGATTATTTGTCAATATTTGTTGCATTGCATACATATTACACGGCATTGGTGGTTACTTCACATGTTTATTTGAGTTAATTGTTTCGGTTGCAGAAAAAGTAGCATGTTTCATTCGGATCAAAAGTGACTTTGGTCGACTCGCAAATTTTGCTTTCGCTCGGCTTCGCTAAACGCTCCGCCTCGCAAATGCAAAATTCGCTTTTCAAACAAAGTGTCACTTTTGATCCTAATAAAACAATCTACTATTGTTTTCGTTACATTTCAGTTCATTATTCACTTCTAATATCCCAAGGCCATTGTAATTTCGAAATAATATGTCGCATACTTTAGAAAGCGAGTTGCTGACGGAGAAAAGGCTTATTGAGGAAAGTTAAGACAAACTATGCAATAGTCGAGGGATATTCAGTGAGAATTTTCTTTTAATAGAATTGCAATCGACTCATTTTCGATATTTTCATAAATCTACTCGAAGTGACTGACATTTTGAAAATGTTATTGAGTTGACGTCAAACTATGTCATTACCATGGTGACTCGATGTCTCAGCAGTGACAATTTACCGGGGCACTTATCAGTTATACCTAAATGTTTGTCTGATCGGCTAATATACTGGTCGATGTATAATCGAAGTGAAAAGTGAAGAAGACTTGAAGAAAATAACTGCAAAATATTATGCATTATGTCTATGGCTCACTTGATAGATGTGAAAAAAAAAATCCAATATTTTCATTAGTATTATTGAATTTTCAATCCGATCGCATAAATGAGTATCGTTAGATTCGTCAAAAAAACCTTTTTGTCTTCAACCTATCTATCATAAAAAGTGAATGAAACTTTCCGATTAAAATTTTCTGATATCACCCGAAATAGATGCAATATCAAATGTATATAAAATGATTAAGTAGGCGTAAAAGCTTCTGAGATTGTCATTTCCTGATCCAGAATTTTCTCAGGAATACAAAAATGTTACAATATACAGGGTGTTTCATTTAGAAATTCGAAACCAGAGTCATTTCTGGGATAACCGGAAGTGAAAGGAACCCCTCCTCACATACCATATAGACATAATATCGAATTTCATTTTGAAACACCTAATATTCCAGAAGTTTCGTTGACACCTGGTATTTTATATTCAAATATTCAATCACAGTATCCAAAACCGTCATTTCATTTGATTTTGAGTTTGAAGAACAGTCTTATCCGCGTTGGTTTCCCAAATTTGATGTTTTTTTTCAAATTCAAAAAAACCCTCACTTACCCCAAATCTCAAATTCTCCACTATACCAGAGATTAGTCAACCGGTTGACTAATCTCTGACTATACTCAGCAACTTTCGGCAGCTTGTATCTCAGGTTAAAAGAACTCATGTTGATAAAACAAATAGGTTCGAAAAGATTTTCATAGTTACACTTCTCCAAAGATGAGCCATTCCTTTCAATATTTCCGAAATCAACAATGGTTTGAAACAATTGCTCGATCCTAGAATATCCATCGACCCATGACATTTTTTAATAAGAGCTCATGCAATATAACAATTTCAAATCAAGTGTACAAGGGAACCATGCATATTACTATATCCATTTGGAAATATAATCATAATGTCATGTCGAAATACAAAAAGGTAACAGTGAATTTGACTTTTTATATTCTCAGACCATCTGACCAAGCATGAAATGCCAAAGGCAAAGGATTGTGTCAGTATTTGTTTTTATCCATCCAACAGTGTCAGATATATTCAATACAGTGAGGTGCTGTATCTAGTCCCCTAACGAAGAATTTTTGATGATATGAACTGTTTTCCTTATATTTCTCTTGCCAATCAAGATTCTGGTGGAGTTGTGAATCGCCTAGAACAGTCGATTTATTTCGATTTCGATTAATTTTGAGGCAGAGCTTTTCAAGCAAATTCGTCATTATTGTTATCGAACTCCTCACCCCAGCGACCTCCATACTTCAGATACTTCAATGACACAACTTCATGCATTATACGTAATCTTCGAAAGTTCAAACAAAATTCCAAAACCTTTTTTCTCTCCCTATTACCCCTAGGTACGCTCACGATTTTCTTCTTACATAATTGAGATTTTCTTTCGAACGCTTCAAGGGATATTAAAATACGAATACGTATTTTAAGTGGCCCCCAAGAAAGATACAGCCCCTCAAAAGGGGGCCTCAGAGATTGATTTTGTATTATTAATCTCCAATACCTTGTATAATGAAAATCTGAAATTTCCTCCATCCACTAACTATTCAGTGCCGGTTCGAATGGAGTTAAAATCACCTCAAAATTAAATACAGGGGTGTGTCAAAATAGGGAGGTAGGTGGTGAAAATATCCCCAACTTTTTTGTTCATCGCAATTTCGGATATTTGACATGAAATTATGAAATCTCAGGGCTATTTACATAAAAAAGGTGCTCTTGTTGCATCTCGATAAAATGAACTATTAGCGAATAAAATTAATTTTTTTAAGATTTCATTTAAATTGCGATTATGGTGTGTACATATACTTAAGTTTAATCATCTAGGTCATATCTCGCAACTGAATTTTTACCTACTTCTAATCGTCTGATCAACTTAGAATCTGGTAGATGACAGTTGACAATGCATTATGGAAGCTCCAATGTGGCTGACCAGATTTGTGATTATGGTTCAATTCGATTCAAAATTGGTATGTGAGGGTTTTTGGGGTTGGAAATTTAGAATTCGTTGTCGGAATTCATGAAATCAAAATAGCCGACGAGTTTTGTTATTATGAACTGATAGAACGAGCTTTCATTATTTCAACTATTGAAATAAAAAATTGCAATTCAAATGAAATCTTGGAAAAATAGATTTTATTCGCTAATGGTTCATTTTATCGAGATTCAACAAGAGCTCCTATTCTATGTTAATAGCCATGAGATTTCATAATTTCATGTAAAAAAACTGAAATTGCGATGAACAAAAAAGTTGGGGTTAATTTAATCCCCTACCTCCCTATTTTGACACACCCCTGTATTTGATTTTGAGGTCATTCCAACTCCATTCGAACCGGCAATGAATAGTTAGTGGATAAAAAAAATTCAGATTCTCATCATACAAGGTGTTGGAGATAATAATAGAAAATCATTTTCCGAGGCCCCCCTTTGAGGGGCTGTATCTTTCTTGAGGGGCACTTTTGAAAAAAATGTTATCAAGGTTTTCGTAATTATTTCACTCACTCTATATACTCCAAAAGTTTGACCACCTATTTTAGAATCACCTTGTATAAAGTGTGTATAAATAGGTTGAAAAAATAGGGGATGTTTCCATGTAATATTTGATAAAGAATAGTGTATTTCATTAACATTTGTCCTAACTTGCTCGAGAACAGAAAATGAATAATTTCTTTGAAGAATGCAACTTTGGTGTTTTTGTAACATCGTATTCTGAGCTTCATATCTTCATCAGGTTGAACAATTGAAAATTGGAATAGCATAACCTGACAAGAATGACTGAAAGAATAACTGAACTTCAGGTTACTAAGGAGGGTTTGATAGTCGAAATGAGTTAATTCGAATAATGTTATATTACCTGTTCGTGAGAGATAATATTGTCATATCACTAATACGAATGTTTTTTGGAAATTTCAAGCTCATCATGATCAGAGTTTATACAAATATACTTCTCCTATACATTTCTCAATTTGAGAGGATTTTTATTTCCATGTTTTCTCTTTGGGAATCCAATGTTCGACATGGCATATAGCCAGGAAAGTAGTTGTTTTCTGTTGAATTTACCAAGAAAGAGTAGATATATTCATTACAAAGAGTATGCGAAGTCTAAATGTATTTCTTCATATATAGAGGGAGATTCAAAATTCGATGTAACTATTTTGAGGCCATATAATTTTGGGATCTGAATAAGATTTTTTCTTCATATTTTATTATGTATATATATATCCATTTTCTCATATTTATATTATATCTGAGAATATTCCTTTTTGATAACCTCACAATAAATGTCATTCTGGAATTTCGATACTTTGTCAGTCACCAACTATAGACTGAATTTTAGCACTATAAAGGGGTTCATAAAAAACAATTAATACTTCCAACTTCAAAATCCTGATGCTGTCTCAAAAATTAAACAAGTTAGGACACATACATGTTTATAAAATTTTCATTTCCTGAAATATGACGAGGAATCACCAGTTTTTTTTGCACATACCCATTGACACCCTGTATACATGTAGATGCAATACTCGCGAACTATGAAACATGCGCCGAAACAAACAGAATCACAGAGATATGAAATTGAAGATGAATGTACCTAATATTTTTGTGATGTTTCAGAGGACTGAAAATATTATACCTTCATATTAGTTTGTGTTGAACAAAATATGGATGATAGTAACCCTAATGAATTCAAGAACAAGAAAGTGCATCCACAACTGAAATCAAGTTTCCTTTGCAACGTATTTTTTTGGTGAGTATTCTTTACTGATTATCTATAATCGTATGTCGAAAATGACATCATATTGTTAGTCACTGATAATATACCGAAAACATTTAAGAAACTTCTTCCAGTAACTTTTCTAAGTCAATATTATGAGTAAAATATAATTTATCAACTTTCTTTATTTTTTTGGAAAATTTGTATACTACTTCGAAGATAGAAAGCAACCCTCCAGAAGTCGAAACTTGAGCGGGGTGGAAGAGCGGGACCTACAGCTTATAGTGGAATACGAACCACATCCGTTGTCTTTGATGGAGATCTATATATCTACCTCAATGGAATTTTTTCAACTATTAGTGTATATAAGTAATTCAATAAGGAAGTTTATTCTAAATTTCAACAACGGGTTTCCTCCAATCTCATTTCCAGAGATATACTTTCTAATATTCCAACTGATAAGTATCCGAGTTGTAGAAATCATAAAGAACATTTTGAAATTCATTGTCGAAATAATTGTATTATGTTGCGTGTCAAATATATGCCATCAACATTTTGTTCAAACGACTTTATGATTTCTTAACACATTATTTTGATGTAAAAAATTCATATCAAAGCTTGGCCTGAAAATCATAATTTGAATTTTCTATCTAAAATATCTCAACTCGGTGTATTGGTACTTTCCTAGGTCAATCAATATACCAAATAAGTTGTTTCCACTATACAGGGTGTCCCATAAATCATAGAGAATTTGGGTGGTAGGGGAGAAATAACGGTATATATGGTTATCGAATTGTTGATGGTTTCTGTAATTGGAAGTTATTAATTGTTTCTGAAAAACGCGAACCATTTGAAAATACAATATTATGTAACAAGTGTTATAAACGTCCTTTTAGTAACGAGTATTTTAAGAACGAGCGGAGCAGAGCGGAGCGAGTGTTCAATAAACGAGTGTCTAGAAAAGTTTATAAACGCGTTACATACTATGCTTTTTCTACGAACTCCGAAGATTACATCAACATATACCTGCTATTCCTGCTTACCTACAAAATAATTCGAAAGGAATGGGAATTGAGAACATAATACATGCAACTGCATGCAATCAGAGAGACACATATAAAGTGATATTGGTTGTAGATGTGTCCAGTCCATTGCTTACTAACCTTTGTTTAACGTTTATTGTCATGCTTAGCGCAGAATAAATGAATTGTTCTCAAAGATGGATGCTTCATTTTTACACTTCTTGGAAATATGCTAGTACCAGAACATTCTCTTCGATTTCACTTTCGTCTACATTTCGCATAAATTTTTAATGAAGAATTCTGATACAAACGAATATTGTTTGAATAATTCTGATACAAAATTTGAATATAACATTCGACAGTACAATTGACAGGCCAGATATGTCTCAAATTACTGAAGCTGTGTTTAATGAACTGTATTGCCATGGTAATGTGTTCAAGAAATCGTGTTGCCATGGTAATGTGTTTAATATTTTTAATAAATCACAGATCGTCAATCCGTGATTAATCGATCATTTAGCGTGGTACATATCCTTACGCTAAATGCCATTTTAGATATGTGAGTAGTAAAACAAAGATGTTTGTTTTGAATAACCCTATGAGTATTTATATACCAATCCAGAATCTGTATTAAATGGACAACTATTTTTTTATATCTGGTTATCTTTGTGGGTAGTTGCTAAATCTGCCAGCGGCATTTGAAAATCAACATGAATATTTCATTTAAGGAAGGAAAGAAGGGAAAACGATAACTTTCTCAGGTGGATGAAATTTGTGGAAGAAGAAATCACAAATGTTACATATTTTCATTGTAATTAGTTTTATAAAAATGAAAACAATTATAATAACTCTCAAACCATCAACAATTGAATGACTACATATACGGTTAGTTCGATTGGAAATGACCCCCCCATTCTCGCCACTTCTTTTCAAAATGTTAATATCAATCAGGCTTGACGATATTCCTTTAACAAATTGGCATATTTTTCAACCACCTGAACATTTTTTGATATTGAAATAACTTTGAAAATACAAGATTGATTGGTTGTACCTATTTTGTGCCTCAGAATGAGATTTCCAATCCAATTCTTTCTCACCTTGTGTATCAAAGCACACTAAGATGACATTTTGATTTCCCAAATGTTGCAGTTGGGGATTGAAATTATTGTATAAAGGATGGAATAAGGAACTTGATGAAGACGACCTATACCAGCCCTTCGAAGAACACGTTTCCCACAGGTTAGGAGACCGACTCGAGGAAATATGGAAACTGGAAAAATTGAATCATTCGAAGCCGTCCCTACTTCGTGCTTTGTGGGTGATGTTCAGGAAAGAGATTTTCTGGCATGCTGGATGGACATTTATATTAGAATTTTTCTTAAAGTAAGTTCGAACTGAATAATTCACAGTATTCATTATTCAATGGGGACCAAAATGTGATAGCTTCGGCATATCTTGTAGCAGTAGACATTACGTAGCGATGTTGCCACATATTCAGTTTGTGGTTTTGTAGGTAACAACACTTTTGGAAAAATAGGGTTCATAACTCGCTCGACGATGTATTTGATAAAACACTTTTTTTTTCAGAATGTCTCAGCCAATTTTACTAGGTCAACTTATAAGATTCTACGAACCGAATCAAACAACTATAACCTTACAACAGGCATACATTTACGCTGCAGGCATTGTCTTGGTGTCACTCATGTATGTTCTAGTAAGCCACTCGTTCTACTTATCCCTTCAACATCTCGGAATGAAACTGCGAATTGCATGCTGCTCCCTGATATACAGGAAGACTTTGAAATTAAGCAAAAGAGCTTTAGGTAAGATGTATTTCTTGAACTATAGTTGTACGATATTTCACATATTTCACGCCTTATGGTGAAGGGCTATCGAACTATTGACGGAGGAGTCTCAACTCAATTAATTGGCGAGTGGACTATTTCTCAACTAGAATCATCACTGAAATACCAGTGCCGGATTAGCCACGCTATGGGCCCCGCGCTCCAAGGCTTGTCCGGCCTGTCTTACTGTAAAAAACATTGCATCAGATCTGTACGACTGCACTGAGAGAAATTATCCGTTGTAAATACCTCAAGTTCACTATACCATACCAAGCGTTGTGGTTAAATAGGCGCTGTCACTACATTCATCAAATATAACCACAACAAAATAGTATGATTGAGGCAATATGACATAGTGAAGCACCAGTTATTATAGGGACCCTACCTGTACGGTTATTATTCACCACTACAAATGAGTGAATAATACTTTACACCTCGTCTGTTCATATTTACCACTACGAACAATAAATTTATACTCATAGATTCGTTCATTTTTGTCTGTTCGAACTCTGAATCAATATTTTTCTACCGCCGTCAGGGACATACTCATTTGAAGAAAAAAACTGGAAAATATCACAGAATCTCAATAATTTGCAGGTATGTTATGAAAATTGAGATCTTCTCGTTCCTCTTAATAACGCGTGCAACATTTACCTGCCTTTTCAGTTTCAAGATGAAACGAATAGGTATTTTACTTACTGTTGAACACCGGTAAAAACTCTTCGAGTTACCACTATCAGGTACAGTTCACACTTCACAGTACCACAGTTTGTAGGTAAGTACCTTGGTACTTACACTATATACACATGCACCGCAAATGAAAACTCCATGGGCCAATGAAATTTATTTCATTCATAATTCACGAGACGAACGCAACGAAAGATGAACTATGAACTGATGAAAAGACCACGCCAAGCCACCTGCATTGAAAAAAACGAACGTCGACGATCAGCTTCGTGATTTCGGCATATTACTCTCTGCCGTGGTAGATGTGTACATCACAAAAAGTAAACCTATTATTATTACCGTACGCACTAATACGTAGTGGTAAATTGAAATATCAGGGGAGTAACATCCAACACAATCCTGTGTTATTGATGTAGTGGTGAATAATAAATTGAACTATTAATATTCGGAGGTGGTAAGCAATAGGTTTGCCTGAGTAATGATCACTCAAATAAGTGATATCAGAGATTAATTCGAAACCATCATTACATTAAGCTATACAAATTTTCATTTATTTTCTCAGTGATGTGAAAAATACTATCAGCAATGAACATAGGAACGAATCAAGCGATAAACAAAGTTCGACCATTTCATCAGCTCTCTACTACACTCGACAACTTTTTTGAAAATCAAACACCTGGATAACTTTTTGAAGTTCAGGAATTTGTTTCCATTATTGATAACGTACTGTCTGCTTCAACTAAACGTTCGAAATCAATTCATGAAATACTAGTGTTTTTGGAGTATTTTGACAGCGAAAGAGGTTTTGGAAAAATCCTCAATAATGGTCAATGCTCCATATACGTATTAATAAACAATACGGATCATAACGGGTGCCAGGATGAAGCCAAAAATATGAAACAAATGAATATCCATAAGGATTTGGTGGCATGATACGTAGTCATCAAAGACATGCGTTTCGGTGGACAATGACGTTTACTAGCCTTTCAATCAAAGCAGTATGTGTCTGATCGTATCTCACTTTCCCTTATGGATAGTCATTTGTCTTCAAAAATCGGGTCATGTTTCGCTATGGAAACAGATAGAGATTATCCGTATTGATTATTAATACGTATATGCAATGCTCACACAGGTGATTTGGAAACCAGTCTAGGCGACGAATTAGTGTAGATCGTTGAGCTGCTCAAAACGAATGTGAGTACTGTCATTCAGAGCACCAAACAGGAGCCTCTGGAACTACAATTTCATAAACTTTCATTGAATAATTCTTTTGAATCATGTTGTGAATTTACGTGTATCTCATGTTCGCCAACTGTATTGGCGAACGTTTTTTTCTAGTATTAAAACGTATTAAAAATGGACTAAGGAACACAATGGGCCAAGAACGTCTCAATCATCTCACTTCGATAAATATGGAGCATGATTTGCTCGAAGAAGTCGATATTGAAAGTGTTATCTCCAAATTTGCCCATATAGGTATATCTAGAGAAGTTTATTTGTAATAATTTCGTTTCATTTTAACAATACTCTGGACTTGATAACTTGAAGTAAACCAAGGGCCCCTTGATAGAATTTGCTACAGGCCCCGCGCTGGCTTAATCCGGCACTGTCAAATACATTGGTCGACATTTAGGCAATTTAGGTGCTAAAATCATCAATATTGCCACGGTAATTTTCAAACGATTTTTTAAGTAGGGACAGACCATAGCACAGTTATCATGTGTTAAAATACGATTGGGAACTTCAGAAATATTAGTTATTCGGTGATTCACAAATTCTCCATTGAGTGTTGGAAATATTCCTTATTAGCAATAAAAGTTCAATTGTCTCAAAATGTTTCATTATGATTTGTGGCTTATTGTTTATGATGAATTAGTGTAAATAATAATTATAATCATTCACACTAGAGGACATTTGAATCGGTGAACGTGACAACCACGGCGCACGACTTGTGGACGTCTTGTCAGTTCTCAGCATTCAGCACAATGTGGCCAAGTCTCCAACCTTCACATGATATTTTGTTATGGAGAAAAATTTTTGGACATGCTGTTTGCTCGAAATAGTCAAGAATGAATTTAAACATCATGGGTTTATTCAACGACAGAACTCTAACAGCTTCTCGATAACTTGATTATAATTAGTGACTTGACAACCTTGCTTCATGAGTGGTAATGGGAGATTATCTGACCAATAACGAATCAGCATAAAAACTGACATCACCATTTATTCGACGTATCTTCAAATGGCGGCCATATGATGGTTCGTTTGAAATGAGCAAATTCCATTTTGTATCTTAAGATCCATCATGGTACCAAAAAATGTCCGTTTTCTAATAGTGTGACAATCTTTCAAAGTTGTTTTGATTATCTGAGAAACCCTTCGTTTGAAAACATGCCAGTCACAAGAAGAGGTAATGACTCTTAATTGGACGTTTAATGATAGAAATACTACTTTTTTGTCATTTTGTCTCATACAACTGAACAATTTCGGAAACACACAGTAGGTATAACTGAAAAATCAACGGACGATTCCAGACACCTCAACATGAACTTACCATATACATATAGTGACTTGAGTGCCAAAGCGGTTCGAAAATTTCCGTTTTTTTTTCATATTAATGCAAATTAAACTGAATTTTTCTGGGTTCATTTCCTTCTTGAATTCTCCAAAGTGTGTATAAATTATTCGAAAAGTATTTTAACTGATAGATAAAAATGGTTGACATTTTTTCGTTTTTTTTTTTTTCAGTTAACACTACCATTGGTCAGATGATCAATCTGCTCTCTAACGATGTGAATCGTTTCGATAATGGCTTCAAATATTTCCATTATCTTTGGGCAGCCCCTCTAGAAACACTAGTGATAATGTATATTTTATATCGAGAGTCTGATATCACCGGCCTTGCAGGATTCTCAATTTTAGTAATCTTCATACCTTTACAAAGTGAGTATAATTTGAGTTCTTATACAGGGTGTTCCAATGGAATACGACAACACTTCAACGGTGTTTTATCAGTTTTGCTAAATTTTTGGTGAGGCCATAAATTACGAACCACCCAGTATATTGCTTTCTACCTAAGCATTAGCCTATCAGTACACTCTGTATATGTGTCTTTTGAAGTGTTCTGAATGTTGACTTGTAACTATACCATATTCATGTCAATAAGCATACATACAAATATTGTTGTTCTAAAAATTGTTACATACATACAGCACATACATACATGACCAAGCAGATCTTCATTCTGCCTATATACGGGTTCCAAAATATGCCTCCTACAGTTTTTTTATACATTATTTTCAGTGATTCTGGGCAAGCTGACAACGATTTTCCGTCAAAAAACAGCTATAAAAACAGATGAAAGAGTGAGACTGATGAGCGAGATCATTTGTGGAATTCAAGTCATCAAAATGTATACTTGGGAGACGTTTTTTGCGAAACTCGTAGAATACGTTAGAAAGTACGTTATCTATAAACATGAGCAATAGCGAAAATGTTAAATCATTTTTATTTTCAGAGCAGAAATAAATCAAATACAGTTAACTACCTACGTCAAAGCATTCCACATGTCGTTCAACAAATTCATAACTCGAGTCTCAGTTTTCCTTTGCATCATAGTCTATACCTTCACAGGGCATAGAATAAACGCACAATACGTTTATGTCGTATCTTCTTTCTACAACATCCTCAAATCAGCCATCAGCAATGACTTTCCTCAAGGAGTCAGTCAAACTGCTGAACTCCTAGTGACCATAAAGAGAATACAAAACTTCTTACTGTTCGACGAAGTTCAAACAGAATCTCGCAAGCTCTCCACCAAATATGCCAAGAAGATCTACACATCTACTCCACTAGTCAACAGTTCGATCAAGAAATCAGTAGGTATATACCTTCAAGATGCATCTGCTGATTGGATAACCTCTCAAGAAGAGCACACTCTGTCAGACATCAGCTTCAATGTTGGGCCTAAGCAGTTAGTGGCAATAGTTGGAGCTGTAGGATCAGGCAAAACTTCCCTACTCCATATTATAATGAGGGAACTACCCTTATTGAAAGGCAAGAAAGATGTAGTTGGTAAGATATCCTACGCGTCGCAAGAACCTTGGCTGTTTGCTGGTACAATCAGGCAAAATATCATCTTTGGAGAGGACTTCGAAGGTCAGAAGTACGAAAGGGTCATTAAAGTCTGTGCGTTGGAGAAAGACTTTGCGCTCTTGCCCTATGGAGATAAGAGTATAGTTGGTGACAGAGGAGTGACTCTGAGTGGTGGACAAAGAGCAAGAATCAACTTGGCACGAGCCATCTACAAGAAAGCAGATATCTACATCCTTGATGATCCGTTATCGGCAGTTGATACCCATGTAGGTAAACAGCTGTTTGATGAATGCATTTGTACTCATCTCAAGAACAAGTGTACTGTTCTTGTCACCCATCAAATTCAATACTTGCGGAATGTCTCTAGGATTTACCTTATGGAAAGCGGCTCGATAGCTACTTTTGGAACTTATGAAGAAATTCAAAAAGCCCCAGTGGAATTTGCCAAATTGTTCAAGCATCAGGTGGAAGAAGAAGAGATAGATGATACAATCGATGAAGAGTTATCGGAATCTAAGTATTTCGAGAGTGTAACTGACGATGAGCCTACAGAAATTAAAGAGAGTAGGAAAATTGGAAGTATATCGTCGAAGGTGTATAAAGAGTATATCAAGGCTGGTGGTGGCTGGTGTTACACCATGTATATTTTGGTTTTGTTCGTTCTCACTCAATTTCTTGCTAGCAGTGCGGATTATTTCGTCAAATTCTGGTGAGTAGAATATATCAAATAAGAATCTCCGTGTTGAGAGTATTATGTTTTGCATTCTTTGATTCTATAATTTTTACTCATGCCATGTACAATAGCTGACAATTGCAAGTTGATTTCTAAAGATTATTCAAAATTTCTCTCACTTTTAGGTTCAGAAAATGATTTGAAAACGAATTCAAAATACTTATCTGTTCTGAAGATAGAACAGGTAATTTGGATCAAGATATCCATAACTTCTGTCACATTTTGACATTTCATTTTTTTTTTCTCAATAATGTGGAGCATATTCTCCACATGGAAAAAAGTTCCACCAAACAAATGGACCCAGATGATGTAATATTCGGTTATAAAGTGATGATATGACACTAGCTTGGGTCTTTAGTGGAATGTTCACTTTCGAAATTGTTTCTTTCAACTCTATTTTTGTGTTTATTCAATATATTCAGAGAAATAACTAGAGTGAGTTTCAATGTGTTTGCATTGAAAATTTACACTAATTGAATTGAAAGAATCACACTATAATATACTGAACTATAGGGTTATAAAGTTAGTGGTCCTCCTGGGAACAGGTATAGTGTTAAATACTGTATGTTAACTATATGAGATTTTTGTATTCAAACTTCATGGTCCTAAATCGCGCAAACATTCGAGAATTAATTTATTTCTGAATGATTAACAATAATTTCATCTGTTGAAGCGCACAGAAGGAAATTCCTATAGTTTTTCAAGCGTTTTAAGCCAGTTCAACACTATTGTTTATATTGAGCTGAGCAATTATTACAACTCAAGGGCTATATTTTTTGACGTTTGTTGAAAAAATTATGTTTGCAACTCGTGCGCGGTATACTTTGGTCATCTCGAGTATTCAATAAATGATATTTTACGAAAATATCAGTTCTTGATCACTAAAGTAGCATTTCGCGCACTAGATACAAAATAACTATTGGACAAAGAGGAAACTGTTAATATCATTCATGATATTTGTACACTATTCTTATTTTTACATTTTCAGGACTCTCGTTTTCTTACCTCAACTGATTTCTATTATTATACAGGGTGTCCCATAAGTCATAGATAAAAAAAGGGGGGTGGTAGGGGAGGGAGGTCATTTCCAATCAAACTGACCGTATATGTAGTTATCCAATTATTGATGGTTCAAAAGTTATTAATCTTTCTGTTCATTTCTAACTAAGTATGTCACGTTTGTGCTATTTTTTTTTTAAATTCAATCCGCATGGATGCACTTTTTTCATGAAATAATATTTATGATGTGTTACTTTGTATCAATTAATGAAAATGTTGTTTTCCCAAAGTTTTGTTGAATGGAATAATTCAATCGATTTTTTAATGCCGGTGGCAGATCAGAAGACTAACTCACAACGATGACCAAGTATCAGAAAAAATTTCCCATTTAATACAGATTCCGAAATGGTATATCGTATGGCATTATTCATAACATCCTTCTGGTCATTATTTTTTTTAAATAAGTCGCGTTTGTCAGGAAAATTGAATAACTTTTGAACCATGAACAATTGGATAACCACATTTACGGTTAGTTTGACTGGAAATGACCCCTCCTACCACCCACTTCTTTTGATCCTCGACTTATGGGACACCCTGTATATTACAAACTCCAAAGAAATGAAAATGGCAATCATTTTGATGATATTACATTGAATACGATGTCAATAATAGTTTATGAATGCTGCGCAGAAAAATTACCTTCGCTTTTTTTATTTAATTCAAGTTAGCAGTTAAGCAAAATCTACCTATTTGTTTCTTATATTGTTGTAGGGTTAATCACGAGCAAAACCTATTCAAGAAAGAAACTGAAAACTCAACATTGTATCAATCCTACCTCGACGACGTTACAATGGAAGAGAAATTCAACACAATAATAATTTACCCCGTAAATACCGTGGAATCAGATGAATACGCTTTCCTCACTACGAATAATTGCATTTATATCTACACATCCATAGTTCTCTTAGTCATAGTGACCACAATTGTGAGATCGATATCTTTCTTCAGAATGTGCATGAAAGCTTCTGTGAAACTCCACAATAAAATGTTTGCCAAAGTTTGTAGAGGAGCCATGTTCTTCTTCAATAGCAATCCATCTGGAAGGATTATGAATAGGTTCTCAAAGGATATGGGATCCATTGATGAAACACTACCTCTGGTTCTCATAGACACAATTCAGGTAGGTTTTATCAATCCTTTGTCTGTGCCTGAATGCAATCACTAACAATTAAAATGACTTCGCGTGGATTAACACCATGTACATTACAGGCGGATTTAAGCACAACGCTTTGTCAACAATCTGTAATTTCACAATCATCAATGATTTCACTAATAAGTAAAAACTTGGTATTCCTTGGGTATTCCCGTTCATTCATTTATACACCTAAATTGAATTTAATCTTTCATTAACTATTCGCTACAAGATTACCAACTTTCATCTCTTATAACGACAAATACAAATAAAACTGTGACTTGCGCAGGTGCGATCCAGTCATAAGTCAGACAAACAATTGTTTCCTCTTGTTTTTCCAAAATGTGGTTGAAAATTCTGAAAATTCCAGTCATATGTTCAAATTAGACTCTGAAAACAATGGGAATGAATGATTCTTATTGTAATTATGTGATCACTGAATGTTATAACACAGATATTTTCATCGGGCTAAGTACGCCGAGGACTATGTTTTGATCAAGAAGTCAAGAAGAAGAGTTTGAAATAAGAAAATGGAGGTGAATAAAGATCTCATAGTCCTCAAATGAAAATAAACTTTAATGACAGTTAATGAAAGAAGAAAACGGTGTGCATAAATCTACCTTTAAAAAGACCTTGCGTGGATTAACACCATAATATACATTAACAATGACCATATTTTCAGATTGCATTGAACGTGTTTGCAGTTAACATCGTGATAGCCACAGTTAATCCATGGATTTTAATACCCACATGTTGGATTGCTTTCATCTTCTATTTATTCAAAATAGTCTACGTCAATTCTAGTAGGAATGTGAAGAGGATGGAAGCTACTAGTAAGAATGGTATAATTATCTGAACGAAAACTGAATTTAATTGTTTCAGCACGTAGCCCAGTGTTTTCTCATATCCATGCATCTCTCCAAGGGCTCACCACTATAAGAGCATTTGAAGCTCAAGAAATTTTGAGGAAAGAGTTCGACAGACATCAAGATTTACACAGTAGTGCATTTTATTTCTTCGTGTGTTGTACTAGAACCTTCGGATTTTGGTTGGATCTTCTCTGTGTTGCTTACATCGCCATAGTTACGTTGAGTTTCTTTTTCATGGGAAATGGTAATTCAAATACATCAGCGAGTATAGTCTCTAGTTCATTCAAAATGAGATAATGAAAGATATTTTTCCCCACAGGAGATTATGAACTGAAAAATTGAACCCAGTTCATAGTCTTTTGAAAAACAAATTGAGTCAATTATATTCTGCTCTAAAATACGAGTGTGATTACTCTTGCAGCATAGCTGAGGAGTATCAGGGAATCCCTGTTCGGTCTTCCTACTTTTTTCCTGAAGACTCATTTAGTTTTCCAAAAGGTCACTTATACAATCAGCATATTGTTGTTCTAAAATTCTTCCTTTCGTTATTCGGTTGCCCCATTACGAGCAACCCTCAGTGGTCTTCAACAGACTTGTGCGAGCAAGGAATGATGGGGCCTCACCTTTTAACGTGTGATCCCAAACACTTTGGCCATGAGAAAAATGTCTGCATTCGGGGATTCGAACCCACGACCGCCAAGCCATCTTGATCAGAATACTAACGCTTCTACCACGTGGATACCTGGCCCTCTAGGGATAGGATGTTTCTCCTCTTTCATGGCAGAGTCTGCCTGGATGGTGAATTCATGCTTTGGAATTCTTTGCCAATGGAAGTATTCCCAAGAACTTATAGCCTTCCAGAAGTTAGAAAATGTTCAACACCTACCCCTTCTCCCGTTCTTCCTCCCTCAATCTTCGAACATTATAGGAATTTTCTATCGTGCACTCCAAGAGTTAAAAAAATGACTACCATCAACTTAATTTTCCACAGATGCAAATACCTATTCTTAATACATTCAAGATCAAGAAATGGAAACATCCTGTAACTCATATATGTCACTGAGAAGTGTCAAAACAGAAGATTCACAACAACCTTCCATATTCATGTTGAAAATGGGAGCAGATTCGTTCTCGAAATGTCCAGCTGCGTGAAAATTTGTTAATTTTCCGATGTGTTTCTATATTGCTCTTCTTCAGACATTTTTTGAAACAAAGTAACACTGAATAATCGCATAAATGTGTCCTATATAGACTCTCTGATAGTAAAATTGAACGTTGTGTCACTTTGGAGCGAATTATCTTATTCATTATTGGCTTATTAGGTTAATATATCATATTATCATTTATAGAAACTATGAGAGATCATAAAAAAAACTAGAGAAATTATTGATTTTTAGGTTTCCTTGTGAATCCAGCACAATTCATTCATAGTATGTATTCTCTTTTATCGACCTTGCTAACCAGAATCGTATTGGGGTTTTTGGTTTTCGAACAAAGGCTAAAGCTTCATAATGGTCGGTCTTCCTATAACCTCGCCTTTATAAGTTTCGACTTCTGGAGAGTCGGTTTCCAACTTCGAAATTTGCTATACCTACAAATTTCACGAATTTCACGAAACCTATTTGGCTTAGAACCCATAAAATTGTCGCATTGTTCTAGCATGCCAAGATGATCAGGTTCAGTGAGCAGATTCGAAATTAATATCAACGACATTTTCAGAAACTTACGGAGGAAACGTAGGCCTAGCGATAACCCAAGCCTTGAGCCTAACAGGCATGTTCCAGTGGGGCATGCGTCAATGGAGCGAACTAGACAACTCGATGACCTCTGTAGAACGAATCGTAGAGTACACAGAAATCCAGCAAGAAGCCATCAAGGACGCGAAAGTCCCTCCGAAACCATGGCCAGAACACGGCATGCTGGAATTCCAATCCGTCTATCTCAGATACGCCACCAACGAGCCTTACGTACTCAATAACCTCACTTTCAAGATCAAACCTAGAGAAAAAGTGGGCATAGTAGGTAGAACTGGAGCCGGCAAGTCGTCCCTGATATCGGCGCTCTTCAGATTAGCTGATACTGAAGGGAAAGTGCTGATAGACGGGATCTGCACGAAAGACATACCTCTCCACTGTTTGAGGTCGAATGTTGCCATCATCCCGCAAGAACCGGTCCTATTTTCTGGAACGCTCAGGTCCAATCTGGATCCGATGAATCTATATGGTGATGCTGAACTGTGGAATGCCTTGGAGAAAGTCGAATTGAAATGTAAGTGATATTTGTTCATCACTATAAGATGATTTGTACACGGATCATCAACTGAGAAATAAGCTTCATTTCTACATATGGCATATAGAACAAATAACACGTTGGGACGGTTTTTTGACATTTCACTCAATGATAAATTAGACCTCAATAGTTCACCACTGTTGAATTTGCTTTCTTAGTAAGTAATAATATGTATTTGCTATCAACTCTTTCAAGTTAATCCGGTATACCGTACCTATTTCAATGTAGATATTGTGTCTAATTTCCGAAAATGGAAGTTTATATCGTACCTGTCCACAGGTAACTAATCCTTCAGGTTGGGAAAGTAGGATATATGAAAGTTAAGCAAGCCAACGTAAGTTTTGTTCATTGTACCAGTATATCACCTGACGAAGCTACTGTGTTAGCAAAACATATCGTGTGTTTGAGAATTTTGTGGAAATCTTATCGTTCGTGAAGTTTTTAGATTTGTACACATTTCGCACATTGAGAACAATATAGCGTGATAATCCCAGTTTTGAACGACTTACTGTATTTACCAAAAGGTCATAAGCTTACTTGCATAATTCCTTCAGTTTTTTTTTTATTTTTCAAGAAAATTTTCGAGTTCTCACAGTTTTGATACTTTTGAGATGACGCTCCTCAAAAAACAGCGATAGGCTTTGAAAATTTCACACCCAACATTTTCGACCAATTAAAAGCCTGTATCCGGATTTTTTTCTCCTTCTTTTCTCTTTCTTCTCCTCCTTGAAGGAAGTATCATGAAATTACACTGGAAATTGACATTTATGAGTAAAATGACATTAACATTCAACTCTAAATCTAATCTAAAATTGATTCCATAAGTGGATGAAATCCTTGTGAGAAAATATATATTTCACATAATAATAATAATAATAATAATAAAAATGATGATAATAATTATTTCAATAATGGTAATAATAATAATGATATTATTAATAAGAAGAAGAAGTAGAAGTAGAGGAAACTCACATTCAGGAGGCACAACGAGTGAAAGACGCTCTCCGCAGCAAGTATCGGCAGCGGCTCCTACAAATCTGGTCGTCAGAACTGTCGGGAAAGAACAAAGTCACTGCTACTGACATGCTTGCTATTCCGATCCTACTTTACTCTTTCGGGGTGATAAAGTAGACTCAAGTCGAGCTGCGACAACTTGATGTGGGTACTCGCAAGATGATGCATCCCCATAGAAGTCTGCATCCAAATTCGTCCGTTCCACGATTAAACATACCTAGAGACCAGGGAGGCCGTGGACTCTTGTGCTTGGAGTATCTTCATAACAGATTGGTTCTGGAAGGCATCTGTAGAGTCATCAGAAGTTCGAATCCCCTTCTGCAAATGGTTGAAGCCCATGAAGAGGCAGGAGTAGGAGCTTTTTTAGGGCAGCACGTCGAGCAGCCGATGAATTGTCTCTGATTTTTGACTACGAGCGCGAGTCTCACGACTCAGTTACTTAGCTAGAGCCCGATCGGAGAAAGACCCGCATCAAAGCTGCAGGAGTAAGTAAGCTCCTGTTCTACTTCAAGACCATTGAAGACCGGGGCTTATCCAAAGAACTGACTTTTGCTTTTCTCAAGTCAGACGGGCAATGCGACGTTCGTGATCGAGTTTTCGGCGCCAGCCGAACCGAACATCGTTTTGAAGGAGGAGGAGAAACGGACTAAATATCGAGATCTTCTCTTCGAACTCCGCAGGCTCTATCCAGACCCTTCTGTGGAATTGGTCATCCTGATAATCGGCTTCCTAGAAAGCACATGACATACGCTGCTCTAGGAAATCCAGAAAATCCCAGCATGCTGTGATAAGGCACACATTCTAGCTGGTGGAATACTTGGTCATACTTGGATCATTGCGTTTACTCAGGGCACACAGTTCTTGGTCCCAGTGATTATTCACCTCAGGCTGTGGGCAACAGTCATTATTACCTGTGAAGACAGAAATTTGCTCTTCCACTCAACCACCACCACCAACTTTAGCTACTTGAATTTGTAATAAACTGAGACATTGAGTTACTATCGACTCATTTTTCATTATTTCATCTAAATAAAGCCGTTCATTTATATTATATTCAAATTTCATTGATACTGAATATGCCCTTTCGACCATTGGATGCAGAATGTGAATCCATTTTTTTCAGTACCAAAAAGTGAAAAGTGACCAATTTGACTTTTGTGCCGTTTTGGCATGGACGCGTCGATTTATCGAATTCAAATATTTCATTAAGTAATTGTTATGAATTGTATAATTGCTAACCATTTTCTGATACCAGAAGTTCTTCCTTACTGAAAATCATTTATTCAATAAATAATAATAAATATATCAAAGAAAAATCCATTCAATTGTTATTGTTGTTGTTGTAGCTCTCGTCTCAGATATGAACTTGGGTTTGGAGAGCAGAATGAGCGAAGGTGGATCAAATTTCAGTGTAGGTCAACGCCAGTTGGTGTGCCTGGCCAGAGCGATTTTGAAGAATAACAAAATACTCGTATTGGATGAAGCAACTGCCAATGTGGATCCCAAAACAGATAGTCTCATTCAGTCTACCATCAGGTGTACCTTTGCTGATTGTACTGTTTTGACAGTAGCTCATAGGTGAGGAATATTATTGCAATTCAGCCAAATCATGGATTTAGTTCATTACTAATGGTGAGGTCAGTTTCTTCATTCTATATTACATATCTTATCACTTCGAACTGTGTTCGTTGCAATAAAGGTGGATAATATTCATCATGGTTGCAATGTTTCGATATTCATCGATCATGTGATATTCTCGTATACCTGCTACAGTTGAACGGCAAGTAATTTCAAGTTGGCTGTGACATTGCCCTATTATATAATGAATCATTAGATAACACTTAGCATTCGCCAATAAGTTTTAATGACGTTAGTATACTTTGAAATTGAATTGAGACTCATAAGACATATACATAATGAACTGATCGACCGATATTTTTGAATGCAACCGACAAAATTTGTTTCTTCGTTGACCTCAACAAAAAATCACATTTTACATTCAAATTTCCGAACGAAAAACCGACTATTTTTGGAGGCAAGTACTTTTCGTCCACTGAAACATTTCATAACTTACTGAAAAATATTTGACAGTTATTCATTATTATTATAACCTGAATCATTATCAATCTTTAGTTATTCACATACACTTATAAGTTGCATGATATTTCGGCATCTCTGTTCAAATTAATTTGACAAAATAACTAATAAATTCACACACACAAATTCAATTTTCTTTATACCTCTGCTATACCAGTTTGTTTCTTAAGGATCATTCTTTCATTTGGTCTGTATTTTTGTTGTTCATTTCTACTATTAATTCCTGTTTTTTATATACTAAAATCTTATAAGTACCTATGTAAACGTATTATGTGATATTTGAAAGAATTAGGTCAGATTGTTCAGAAAAGTTTGTATTGTTCGCTCAAGTGATTCTCAGAAATAATATATTTTCTAGGAAGAAAGTTCATATAGCCGAATTAGAATAAATTGTTTTGAAAAATTAGTTCATTTTGTTCGCATAAGTGACTTTTTGAAGAATATATTTTTTAGGAAGAATGTTAATTTAGGCCGAGTTGACTTAGATTGTTTAGAAGGCTATAGATCGTTGTTAACTTTGATTTGGAGCATATAATAGAATAAACCTTCTTGAATTGATTGTCAGCAGCTCTAGTACAACTGATGAGGCTTGGAAAGCAGAGCAGTCTGTCTTGCATCACCTGACAATCGGTTCACGAAATTTCCCTAGAATTTCTTGGTAATCTTAGTCTTGAGATTCTAGGTTCATCATCATGGTATTTGTTCTCTTTAGTGTATTTTATTAAATTTATTGTACTGGTATTGTATCTACAAACTTTCACACAAAATATTAATGTAATTGAATTACAAATTCCTTCGTCGCTTATATGATGTCACGGATATAATGTCGAGAATATCAGGCATTTGGAATCTTGTCCATTGAGAAAATTTATATTTCAGATTACACACCGTCATGGATAGTGATAAAGTTCTAGTGATGGATGCTGGATCAGCTGTGGAATTCAATCACCCTCATATACTTCTGGAAAATACTGAAGGGATATTCTATGGACTTGTCAAAGAAACCGGCAAAGCGATGGCGGATCATTTGACAGAAATAGCAGAAAAGGTAAATTCCAATATTGCGAAATGTTCAATAAAACGGTATTAAACTATTATCATTTTCAGAGCTTCCTGAAGCATCACAAATGTTGAAGAGAAATACAAAATGATAGAATTAGGGTACAATGAGTGTTCTATTGTGATATTAGTTATCGTTTTTAAATTATTTTATTATGTCTCATTTTAAATATTGAATTGATTGTTGAAATGTGAATTTTTATATAAATATTTATACTTATCTATGCTTATTACTTTTTGTAATTAAATGTACATGTTTCTACGAGAGTGATTTCATTTGAAATTTCCAAATGTGATTTCACACCTGATTGCCGAAATTATATCTTTATACATGACATTCAGATTATTCGCTTAGGTAAGTATTGCATCGTCTTATTAGGTATAGTATTTCCAAGTCAATTGGAGCAACTCCAGCAATATGAAAATTAAAGGTTTTTTGTTGCAGTATCTAGTAAGTTTGTATAAATCATCCATCAAATTGCACTATTCCTTGTGAAAATATAGAAAAATAATAATTGATTGTTATATAAATCCCCCCATAGCTTTTAATTCATCTGATGTGGAAAACAATTTTCATCATATCGATCAGAACACAAATTAGTTAGTGTAATTCTCAGAGTGACAGACAGAGCGTTACTGTCATTTTCGATTCATCGGAGTTGAGATGAGAAACTTCTAGCTACAGATGCGATACAGATGAGTTATTTCCAAAGAAGTCTTAAGAAATGTATGAGAGGCACTACACGGGATTTTTTTAATGGTTCAATAGTAAAAAAGTTAAAACACCAAATAAAGGAGAAGTATTTTTGACTCTTTTTTTCGCGTCGTTCGGGTCAACTGCATTCGCGTGCGGGAAAGTATTACTTTCCGCACTTGTTAGGAAAATTACTATTCCCTACTAGAATGAGTGCGGGAGAGATTTTTCTGCACTAGTACGGTGAAGTAACTCTTTCAATACTAAAATGAGTGCGCACTTCGATGTGACAATTGTCAGTTCAAAGTGACAATAGCCACTTCAAAGTGGCAATTATCAGTTCAAAGTGACAATTGCCACTTGGAAGTGACAATTCCATGAAAATAAAGTTGTTGGCCCTTCTATATACCGGGTGACACAGGGTATCGGGCCACCCCTGTAACTTCTGCATTCGTCAACGGATTTTTCTGAAATTCGGTACAGCTATATAAGCAATCATTTCGGATTTGATAACATTACAATCCAATATGGCGGACTTCCGGTATTTCTGGAAATGCCAGCAACTTTGTTTTTTCAAATGAAACACCCTGTATATTTTTACATATTCAAGTTCAACAGGTCGAAACAAGTGCAATCCTTATTTCAAATGTCATTTTCTGAAAAAATTTAAATTAAAATTGTTTTTTCATTTTACCTCGTGGATAAATGAGATGTGGTCAAGACTATTCACAATGACTCACACATAACAGAAGAACATAATTTTTTCTGAAAAATTATTTTTTGTGTCACTTATCCAGGAATCAATTCAGCCACATCACTTTTTGATCAAAAATTATTTTTTTTCAAATGGGACCCCTATGGGCCACCTACCCGTCTCTCTAGACCATACATCAAGGAACAAAATGACATATCATTTTTGTTTTTCGGTGCAGTAACAAATTGTATTCATTCAAAAATCAACAACTAGTTTATGAATTTTCTTGCAGTTTTAGAATAATTTTTCAACTAGGTAGGCTTTGGAATAAATGATATTTGACATCAAGATTGCACTTGTTTTGACCTGTTGAACTTGAATATGTAAAAATATACAGGGTGTTCCATTTGAAAAAACAAAATTGCTGGCATTTCCAGAAAAACCGGAAGTCCGCCATATTGGATTGTAATGTGATCAAATCCGAAATAGTTGCTTATATAACTGTACAGAATTTCAGAAAAATCCGTTGACGAATGCAGAAGTTACAGGGGTGGCCCGATAACCTGTGTCACCCGGTATACTACGCCATCGTAAAATGATGTTCCTGCCCGTATATTTAAATGTGAAACACCCTTTTCAATGTAAGACATATGCGGACATGTAAATGTGTGATTATTGGAAACTAGAAAAAAAATATAACGCACCATGTCTAATGTGTCATGATATCATAGCCCAGGACCCAGCGACATTTTTCGATGTATAATTTGAAAAAAGCTTGGTTGATTTTTTCATCCGCCTATTCAGGTATCTTGTTCACCCTGTAGAATGTATAGTACGTTGTTTTGTGACACATTTTTTTTCACATTATTAGGTCCATGGCAGGAGTACATCGTTTTACGAAACAGGTGACAGGAGGTGACTTTTTTCCTAACTGATATGACATTAAACGGTTGGTAACGTTTCAGCTTTAAATGACTTAAATTTACTCGTTTTTCTTCAACATCATTGATGAGCTGCTGATAATCGTTGTCCTGGTGGTGCGACGGAAATAATGAAATTATTCTTTATCAAATGAGTCAAAATACATGTCGCTGTATCCCCAACTATCATCCATGAAATTGAATACATACTAACTGACTGGAAAATCGCTCGACAAAATTCAATAATTCAACAGACAAAAGCAACTCTGTTCGTGATAATTACTGTATATTAGCCCATGATATTCATAAATGGAGATACGAATTAATGAATAATTCATGAATTTTCGCACGAACAGGATATCATCAATGATGCACAAGGGTAGCGGATGTGGGAAATGTCCAGGCGAGGGGAAACTCTTCTAATTTCCATCTGGAAAATCAGTCATGTTGAAGTGATTCGAAATTATGTCGAGAAGTTGTTTTCGAGTCAACCATAAACTCTAGGTATGCCACATGTAAGCACAGGATTTTCCTTCTATTATGTGTTTTATTTAGAAAAAAACAGCCGTTCAAAGTTGGAGTTGCAGATCTGAATTTATCAATGTTTTGAATTTTCAGTTCATGGATTCATTATCCATCATCCATCTCCAAATACAGCACAGTTAGTTCTTATCCTCCCCAATGAGCAAAATCATTTGAGATCTCGTATAAGTACAAGCTGTCCAATTTTGGATGTCCTCACGGGATATCTCACTTATATTCAGTGTATGCTGCTGAATAATGATGTATATCTGGAAAATCTTGAAATTAGAAGTTCATTTTCAAAATATGAATTTGATTAATAGTTTTCACTAAATGATTTGCATTCCAAAGAAATACAGTTCTATATGAAAAGATTATAAGTGCATCACTCCGAATTTGACTCTTCTGCGACGACCTGTGTTTTTAGAAAAAGTTCTTCAATTTACTCGCGTTCAAAATTAAAATTGAAAAATGTAGAACAACCTTCTATCGGAACTCGATCGTCTGTAGTCTATAGAAGGCCAAAAAAAAATTCAACACAGGTACAGGGTCTTCACGTATATTTCGAACCCCCACTCAACTTTTTTATGTATTGTAGATTTCATATATGCCAACCCAAAAACAGTTGAACTTCTCAAAAAATACTTATGGGCAACATTTATTGCATCTATAGATTCTCCCTGGAGAGCTGGTTTCATCGATCTATCACAGTTGGGGTCCAGCTAAAATGATAATTGATTACAGAGATATAGGGTGTGAAAAATTGAGATTCACTCAAATCTAGGATTTTTTTGTGTCGAAACTATTCATTATTGGCCAAAACGAATACAGGGTGGTGAAAAATCTAGAATTCTGATGACCCTGTATATGTTTCATTTAAATGTCAGTAGAAAGTGGATCAAAAGTTGATATAGGGACTTCAAAACAGTTTTGGCTGATAGTGAATAGTTCGACACAAAAAAAAATCCTAAATTTGAAGAAATCTCGATTTTTCACACCCTATATCTCTGTAATCATTTCAGCTATACCTTAACTGTGATAGATCGATGAAATCAGTTCTAGAGGGAGAATCTAAAAATGCAATAGAATATAGAATATTAGGGTGTCCTATTGAAAAAATTATGAATGTTGCCCATAAGTATTGTTTGAGATGTTCAACTGTTTTTCTGTTGGCATATATAAAATCTACAGGAAGAAAAAACTTGAACAATACATGAAGCAGTTAAGTGGGGGTATTATAGGAATTTCCGTTCGTGCGCTCCAAGAGATAAAAAAAAAGTTGAGCTGATTTCAGATGGACATTTGTATTCGGAATGAAATATTTATCCAAAACAAAATGGCGATGATGTTTGAAATCTCATACTAGGATCCTTTCAACGATATGAATATATTAACGTGCTTACATTGAAGTCGATCAATTCCTTCAAACAATACAGGTGTGAAAGAAAGAGCCAAATTCTGAGTAATGTACTTAGTGTGTTGAACTATAGATAATCTAACTGCAGATTATTCAAGAATAATCGCCCTGATCATGTGAAAGTGCCTATATACAATTTGTACCAACCCCTTCTGTATTACCGTCTAGCAAAAAATTGTTAATCACAATTTCTCAGTCTACTGCAATCACGAAAACTACAACAAAACAAGAGAAAACGGATGAGGCATTTTTTTCAATTTTGATAGTAGCAATCGATTCGACTAGTCACAAATACTCCAAAATCAATTTCTAAAGGATATCTCATACGGAGTGTTTTTCCAATAATGTTACAATTTTTGAAAAATTGGATTGTTCAGGTCACCGTGTTTAATAATTCTAATAATAATTAAGATATAAAAATTTGAATGATACCAGGCAGGATGGTAGTCAGGATTAGGTCGGGCTACAGAATGGGATAAATAACGAATGAAATCACTGGTAATTAAAATTCGATAACAGAAAGTACAGAGATGAAAAAAAAAACTGAATAATACCAATAAAAAAATAACATCAAAAGATAAAGAACCAAAACAGCAACCATTCCTAGGTTCAGATTTTTGTATTCTCAATTAAACCTCCGCCATTCTTTATACATTTTCCGATACTCTTCCACGCGTTAATTATTTTCTACTCTCCTCATTTCTTTTGGTGACATCTCTCTGCAAACTGTTATTATTCTTCGTCACAACTCTTCTTTATTTCCTGTCCGGAATTTCTCACACTGTAGCCAGATGATCTATTCCAGACTACCATCATCATTCAAATTCTTATAAGAATAATTATTATAAACGGTGACTTGAAGAATGCAATTATTCAAAAATTGTAACGATGATAAAAAACACCCCTTATGAGATATTGTTTTCAATAATTGATATAGGAGTATCTGTGACTATTATGAATCGATTGCCATCATCATATTTTTGTGATCGCAGTTGGCTAAGAAACTGTGATTGATTTTTTTTTGCTCGACAGAGTAGATGATTCTGAGTGGTATATTGAAAAAAATATACATAAATCGTCCTAGCAGTACAAAAGTACAGGGGTGGTGTGGACCAAACTGTAACACACTGTAAGTACCTAAAACCCTTATAGTAAGAACTAAAACCTAAAAACTAGGAACTGTTAGCCTTGAACCATATTGGATATGCCAGAGATACGTCAGAAACGTGATAAACGAAGAACTTTTTTGGATTTGTTGAAGAAGGAAGCAAAACAGTTCTGTTTGAACACTGCTCTTCATGGATATAAGTTCATAGCTCTGCCAAAACGGATGTTACTGGAGAGGTAGGCACCAAATAATCATACCATGCTCACAATCTGTAGAAAAATGAATGCAATCAATCATTTTTTCCAATTTCATTTTCTCCACCTCGAACTACACGAGAAAGTATTCAAGGTTAATGTGAGTGACATTTCAAAATAACTGCTGATCATCTTATTTTGCAAAGTTGAATATTCATCCAGCCCAGCCTCCACAAAAAACGAATTGTTGGGCCCACAGAATAGGTTTGATGATTTTGTTTCCTCATTTGCCAATGAGTTATACGCTCTCTAACAGGCCTACTGCCGTCTGTAGGTATCTGCCCTGCCACGACCCAAATCAGGAATTTCCTTTCATGCGATCCAAGAGATCAAACAAATTGAGCGAAATATAAATTGGTATTAGCCACGGGTCGCAGTGCTGTGACCGAACAGACCCACTTACCTTGAACCTAACCTATAACCACCCATCCTATTGGATTGTTTCAAGGGTGTACTCTATCAGGAAAATGCAGAGCTACGAGCTCTGTAGCAGTACCTACGTATAGTGGATTCTCATTTAGTGTTAATGAGTCTTCCTCATTACATGTGTAGATCGTTCTATCAAGAATGTTTCACCATGTGACTGTCTAGGTATTTACCCCAGTATAGTATATTATGGTTGTCAAGCTCTATAATGGCTTCTAAACACTCTTTTTGATACATCTAGGGCCGGCTTTGAGCCAATAAGTGAGTTGATCTTATTTTTCTCATGCCTTTCATGGGAACCAGAACATAAAGAAAATATATCTTCTATGACGATGTTACTTTACTGCCAGTTGTTAATTCCTCCACTTCTTCTTTGCATTTTCATACCTGTTGATGTTACTTTTCGAAGCAGAAGAGCAAGTTCAGTTGTGTTACCTGATGGACCTGTAAAAATAGAAACATACCAAGCAAACATGGTGGCCAGGTAGCCGTGCGGACAGAGTGTCCATATTCTAATCCGCATTCGCTTGCCGGTCGTGGGTTCGAGTCCCGTCGACTGCAGAAATTTTTCTGATGGCCCAAGAAAGTGTTTGGGATCACACGTTAAAAGGTAAGGCCCCCGTCATTCCTTGCTCGCACAAGACTCTCGAAGACTTTTGAGGGTTGCTCGTAAGGGGGCAACCGAATGACGGATAGAACAATTTTAGAACAATTTTTAGAACAAAACATTGTTGAACAACAGGTAGGCAACTGTTAGCTAGCTTGTTTCCGTGGGGAGAAATCATTTTCGACAAACTGTTGAGCAACATCGACCAGCCTGCTTTCTCCGGTGTTTATCCATTGTACGCTCAGTCAGGCACCATGAGCAACCATGGGCAACCATGAGCGACGAAGAAGATGCGTCTACACTGCAGACGCTGTGTGCGCACTGTTGGGCCACATCCCCTTTGAAATACCGCCTCGGGAGCGAACACCGACAGTTCGGCAACAGTTGCACAACTGTTGTGCAACTGCTGCGCAACACGTGCACACTGTGTAGACTTGTGTGTTCCTCGAGTGTTGTTCTACTGTTGCACAACAATGATTGCTTGGTCTGTTCCCACCTTAATACCTCAGGTTTTCAACCATTGCACATTAGACACTGTTTTTTCTTCGATCTCAAAAACCGACCCATCTGAATACCTTTGACTAATAAGTAAGGATCTTTTATGAAAGTATAACTATTGGTGATATTATGCATTCATCTCATACACAATAGCAATAGCTTTCTATTTCTGTGGACTAACAATGAAATCTCCCTTTCAGAGTTATTTGGTTCATCATTTGTTTTGCATCACTAGTGGTAGCTCTAACACTGCTCTGTATAGCGTGGTTCAGCTTCCAGCAGAATCCTACTGTTCTTTTGACAGACTCGAATCATCATCCGATATGGCATTATCAGTTTCCGGCTATAACCATTTGTGACTTCAATAAAATATCGAAAAAAAAGGCATACGAATTAGCAAAAAACCTGTGAGTAAACACATTTAGAAAATATATGTTGCGCATTTGATATCTGGAATTTATTTTGATCATGAAAGTACGTTCAACATGATCATTTGACAGTTTTATTCTATGATAATATAGCCATATAGTAGATGGCTCTGAAGGCTATATCTTGCTCTACCCCATTTGAGCTTAGATCTTTTTATTTTCATTGTCTCCTCATATTACCAAATTAGGTAGGTATATTAAATTTATCAATTTTTCATATTATATTCAGTGTTCAAATTGTTCATTTTAACAGGAAGATGACTCCCATAGAATAAAAACTTGTTTGATGAAGGATTCTGTTGCTCATTACTGAAGTTGCATGGTATCTTGGATATCAAATGAAATAAAGATTACTCCAACATCGCTAACTAACGATCCACTCCTTGCATCTTCATCAACAAAAATTTCTCATTTTTTTTAATTCACTCGGTCGTTACTTGATGGAAATCCATGGTATAATCGTACCAGTATATCACCTGACGATGAGCTATACTGTGTTAGCGAAACATGTCGTGTGTTTGATAATTTGGTGGAAATCTTATCGTTTGTGAAGTTTTTACAACAAAAATGTCTTTACTTTGAATTATAGCTTCAATATCTCCAATTGTAATAACTCTCAATCATTGTCCGATATTATTACATTCACATAACGATGGTTTCGTTTATTTTTGATTCATCAAACCAGTCATCATTAGTGATTCAGTGGAGTCGGAGGTTCAACACTGCAGTTTACAATTTCATATTATTGGTTGAAGGTTTTCATCCCAGGCCTAATACTCAATGACTATACTCAATGTCCCAGGTCACAAATAATGTTCAGAATAGTGCCAAAATATTCCTTCCTCCTTCTTCACTTGTACACGAATTGAAAATTATTGAGAATAATGTTACCATGAACAACTCTTGGTCTCTTTTGCTCTTCAAATCTTCATGAGGGGCAAAAAAACATTATGGTACTATAAGAATGTGTTGACAACATATTATGAATTGAAATATTCCTAAACACAAATCCAATACAATATCGTACATTTCGTCCCATTACAAATTGTACACTGATAAGTTATCTAAAATTTTCGCTTCAGTTGATGTTTCATATTATTCAAGGACCGATGAAAATCACGTGGAACACGTAGCTTCTCAGCTGAAGCTAATGATACAACTGACCAAACTGACAATTAAGGACATTCCTATCAGAAACTTGAGTAATCTGCAGGATCTTTTAGATGAAAAAGAACTGTCTGTGGACGCGGTCAACCAGAAACTAGCATACTCCTGCAACGATATGCTGCAAAGGTGTATGTGGAAAGGCGAGGAGAAACGATGCGATAGTATTTTCGAACAGGTGAAAACTTCGGATGGGTATTGTTGTGCGTTCAATTACTACGCTCTGAGGAATCACACTTTCAGTGGGTATGTAACAGCAATGGTGGTCACCAAGCAATAAATAGAAGTTCACATTATCGATTTCTAGAATTGATAGAAGGGAAAAAATCTACACCAAAGAGAGAGAGAGAGAGAGAGAGAGAGAGAGAGAGAGAGAGGAGAGAGAGAGAGAGAGAGAGAGAGGGAGTTAGAGAGAGAGAGGGAGATAGAGAGAGAGAGACAGAGAGAGAGAGAGAAAAATATCAATTGAACAATAGATGTATATTATGTTGTGAACATATATGCATAAGAACACTCAATTCAAGTAATTCCATACAATACTTCCGATTTGGAACATATTGTCAATTTTTGTAAAAGTTCTCAATTTCTCAAACTCGGTCGAGAATCATTTCATGAATTCAGTTCCAGGATATTGGCGAAGAAAGCTCCCAAAGCTCCCAGAAGAGTGTCTGCTTGCGGGTATCAAACAGGGCTAGAAGTGTTGATCGAAAATCAACCACAAGACTATTTTGCATCTTACACTCCCTCCATTGGTCATAAGGTAAATTATTACCCAGCGAGCACAAAAACATCTCAGAGATGTTAAAAGTACGAGATTTCGAGACATTGAACCTCCACTGCGATGTACTGTTCACACATGAATAGAACTATTATAGAACAGCCAATGTCCGCCGCAGGCGGCAATTATCGAGATGTTAGCAGCGTGATGTAAGCGTGACACGCTGCAAACGCGAATGCCAATTGCGAACAAGAAGAACAAAATCGAAAACAAATCAGAATTCATCGTATTGTGACGTTGTGGTGGTGCAAACAAACAAAGGGCACAAAAGAACAAAAACAATACTTTCAATATCCTCTTTGGGAAGTGCATATTACGCCTCAAAAAAACATCCTGATGCCTACATTTCTAAAACATCCCAAAACTTCCCAGGGATACCTCTCAGTAGGCAAACAAAGAAATGACACAGAAGAACAAAAACAATACTTCAATATCCTGCAAAGACCTCTTTGTTCAGTGCATATTACATCTCAAAATAACATCTTCATGCCAACATTTTCAAAACATCCCAAAACATCCCAGGGATGTTTGTGCTCGCTGGGTAGTATACTTGGACTATCAAAGTTACTATAGGTACAGCACTACCTACCAAATTTTTCTCCAGATTCAACATATTGATCACTACCAAAATTTTCCTCAAGTTTTGTGTTTGAATGATCCAGAGTTGCAGTTTTTTTATGGATAAAGATCCTTCGAAAATCACCAAGAATTTGGAAGTCAATATGAAAGTCTTTGGAAATCACTAGAGGAGAATTCGAAGTTTCCTGATTTAATCGGAAATCTTTGATAGTTGGTGGAAGTTCATCAGTTAGGAGCCTATCATAAAGATGTTCAACTTTTTTCTCGAAAGGGTATTTGAGAGTAGAGTAAACTCTACAAAAGTATATGTCTCCAAGTCTGTAATTTTATGAAATCAAGTATAGGAACCCCTACCTAGGTTTACAGAATACATCCTTCCACTTGAAAAAATATGGAAAAGAGATTAGTGAGAATTCTCCGAACCAGGAATAACCTATTCTATAGTGCACCCTTGTCTACAGAAACTTTGGGAGGTTTCAATATGAAGAAGATTCAATCTTAAACTTTCTTCCACATGATACCCCCAATAGATGCCCCACTAATCTAAGGTGGAATGTGATATTGGATATAGGTTTACTTACGAGAGTGCGGAAATAGTATATTGTTTAACGAGCACAAAATGATAGTGATTTTCTACGAGAATGAAGTTTGCAGCATGAGCCATAGGCGAATGCTTCAATCATTCGAGTAGGAAATTAGCGTTTCATGTAAGTTATACACTTTAATTCCTCTACGGCGATAATGAATAACAGCGGCATTTTCGATTTCTTCGACTTGTAGCCATCTGATTTCCTGCTCATCTATTAGACAGAGCTGTCATTGCTTGAAACTTGACATTCCATGGGCAATGAGTTTTTTCGAAATAATAACACACTTGTTAGGTAAATAACTATTCCTCTTGTAGATTATAGTGCACAATTCCTACTATTACCCAGACTGGAGTAGCCAAATCATATTCAGCCCCCAGAAATCGATCAGTTCCATTAGCATCAGTCCCACTATAACGTACTCTTCCGACGAAATCTCAGATATGGCAGTAGAGATAAGAAACTGTTTGTTTCCCGGTGAATGGCAATTGTTGTACTTCAGCGAGTACAATTTTCGAAATTGCATGGTCGAATGCCGAATGAATATGACCAAGAAGCTGTGCAACTGTTATCCTTACCAATATATTCAGAATGACGGTAAGAAGCTTTGTTCATAATTCGATATGGGGAATGATAATAAGGTAATATTAAGTGTAATGACGGAAAAAGTGTGATTCAGGAGGACAGATTTGCTCGTTCAAGTTTCAGAAAGAATCATCAACGCAAAACAACTGGTCTTTCTTTCATACATCAGGTACCCATTTCAAAGATCTGAACATCAAATCTTTGGATATTTCAGTTTCAATATTTTCCATAATAACACATAACATAACATATTCACATAATAATAACATAGTATCATCTTCCTCTTGTCACGTGTCGTCTGTTACCAACAGCCATTTTGAACATTTCTGACTATAAGCATTCCTGACTCTACGGACATGTGAACCCACCCCCAAGGTAGATTAGGTAGAGTTTTTGGTTGTTGACCGTCTTGACCAACTGGTCGTTAGTGTCACGTTTCTGATCACAATGACAAATACGAATGGTTTCGACTAGGGTCCCTTGATGGAAATTGACGTTAAAGTCATCTTTAATGTCAATTTCCATCAAGGGACCCTGGTTTCGACCAGTCGCTTTTGTATTCAAAAACCATAAAAACCGTGAACTTCACTGACCAATTGGTAATTCACCGAAAATAACACATTATCTGGCATCTTAAAAACGAGATATATTAGGAATAATTTATATGAGTCATTGAATACCTCGAGACTGATTTTGTTAGATGAAATAATAATTTTGAACTGTATACACTCAAGTGAATCATACAGTGATGTTATGTTATTGATTGACTGTTTTGAGGTTATACTTTTGTATATCCTTGAACCGCAACGACCATCAGGAAGCCAGGCGAAGTGATCTTGGATCGGTCGGCCTTGGTCTTCAATAAAAACGTTAATATTTGGAGTTGGGTCAATGCGGTCATCAATAATTTGATATAAGGCAATCGAAAACTCTCCTTTATTGGGTTCCTTGGATTAACAACTAACATTATGAATATTTCTACTCAAAGTAAAGCAGTTCCGTACCCTTCAGGGTAGGTTAGAGGTAAAAGGCTGTCTAGCTGTCTAGTATTCTAATTCCCCGCCATCCAAAAATTGGGCGGCCCTCAAATTGAATGGTGGTCGATGATTGGTCATGCGGTTATCCACAAAAGTAGAGTCGAGGGTACGGTCTGCTAAGTACCCGGCTTATGCCACGCTCCTTGTCGGTCCAATCTTGCCCTATACCTACAAGCAGCAGTGAAAAGCTAAAAAATAATCAGAAATGACACTGCCACCTCCAAGAAGAACAAGTACCTCGGTATATACATATGAAAATGATCATAGGTGTTTCATTCAGCTGATCATATCTTCTAATACATTTATTTCTGAATATACTAAATATCATGTATGTTTCAGTGAAACTGGAGATGAAGCCCAAGTTCTGTTCCTTACGAGACATTCCATGTTTAGAAGAAAATATTGGTAAATTGCTTAATAGAAATAGATTAATCGTTCAACAAATATCATTGACTATTTTAAATAGATATAGTTATTTGTTATACAAGGGAAAAAAGTTGTAGATCTTAGCTCCAGGTTGTGTTGTCTCCCGACGCGTAGCGGAGGGGGACAAGAAACAGTGATCTAAAATCTAATATTTTTTCCGTGTATAATACACTATTTTTTTCTGTGAAAGAAGGAAGGACGAATCAATATTGAGAAGATATTACATTATTTTGAAAACTGAAATTTATCGACGTGCAATTTTAAATTTTTAACAGTAGGGACACCTGCGTTGTAGGCATGTTTATCATTCTTTTGAAGTAATCAAATATCTGATGTCACTTCTGTCAGTTTCATTCTGTGATTTGATTTCTAAAAATTGCGAATTTGGTGGTTGTTTAGTAATATACGTAACCGCGAAGTCGAATGGAAGATGAAAGGACTTGCAGTTCTTTCTCGGAGACGGTATTATTGACTAATTTTTCGGAACTATGTGATATATATCCGGGAAAAAAGTTCTCATTTTTTTTCTCACGGGAAAAAAGTAATTTATGAAAAGTGACATTTCATAACCTGCAACAGAGATGAAATGCCAATCTTTTTTCCCGTCACAGAAAAAAAATTATTTGAAATATCTATTAATAGGTACCTATTGAGAGACGAAATTTAGTATAGGCAAGTTGACTTCGCAAAGATAATTGGTCACAAATCAGTTACGAAATTCACGATATTTTCATTAGTGAAAAATGGCTGATTCAAGTTCAGATTTCCCAGTGATATCAAGCAGGCAGCACAAAATACATTCATCTCTTCGTCCATCCATATTTTTACTACGTAACTAGTGTTGAAATGAACCTTTCATCACCCAATTATGTCATATGTAATAGGTACCTATTTTACTTCAAAAAAATTGTTTATGAATTCTTAAAAATAATGTTGGAACTCAAATACAGGAAACCCTATATATAGGATATTTCAAATTACCCAACATACAACGACCATGCACCCTCTATATTATCAGCTATTGGTCGTGCGATTCGTACCAAATTTGGACCGGTATATATTCATCAATATAATCAGTTTTTTAGAGACGAACATCCTTTTGGACAGTGACGTGCTTTTTGATTGGAATTGTGGAGATGACTTTGAGCTTTTCTTCTTTCCTTATGAATGATTCCTCTCCACTTTGAGCAAACATGGATTTCTACCAGAGATTACCTTCATATTATTGTTCCTCATGCTTCCGAACCTCCATTTGCGAAAAATCACCCCAAAGCCTCTTTCGTATATGGTGTAAGCACTTTCTATGCCATTACTCAATTAACACACAGGGTGAGTCAAAAATTAAGAATAAATCATGGTTCGAGTTATTCCACCACCAAGGAGGCTTTGAAAAAATGTTCCCCTCTTTATTTTTTTTT